CCCCCTTCGCTTTTCTTGCTTCTGCTCTACCTATTCTCTCCCCTGTCCAGGGTGGGAGGGAGAGGGGAAGTGAACAAGTGTCCGTGTGGTGCTTAGCTGCCTACCACTGTTACCCAGCAGCAGGAAACTTCCATTATTAGATTAGTTACAACTATAGAATTTGTCATTTAGGCACAGAGATAGGATATAAACTGAAAATACCACCACTGTCAACAAGTAGAATGCAGTTACTCCTGGTTAGGATAACCTGAGGAAGTATGGGTTTGACTGGACTGCTTGCTGGGTTGAAAACAGGATGGACAACTGAGCTCTAACAGTAAGATCAATAGCTCAATGTCCAGTTGGTGTCCTCTAGTAAAATATCTCTGGGATTGATTATAGGGCCAGTATTACCCAGTACTTCACCAGTGACCTGATGAGGACACACAATACATGTCAGCAATTTAGCCAACGATAGTTGATTAGGAAGAGTGAATACAATGAATGACTGAACCACAATTCAGAAGGCCCTTGATAACTGAAGACAATGACAACTTAAGTCTCAATGAAGAAAAGGCAAAATTCTGTATTGAGGGTGGAGTAACTCCCATGTGCTGGCACAGACTGGAAAGCAACCAGCAGAATAATAATCATATTGAAAAAAACCAGGGGGTTATGGTTTAAGAACAACCAATGATGGGTTCTACTAGCAAAAGGCAAACCACAGGCTACATGGTAGCATGGCCTACAGACAAAGGGAAATTACTAGCCCCTCCAACTTGGCACTTGTGAGGGCATACCTGAAATATCATGTCCAGTTTGGAGCTGTCAGGTCAAGAAGCATGTGGAGAAATTGGATGGGGTCCACTAAAGGACTACTAAGACAGTCAGAGGCCTAGAGTACATGACCTACAAGAAGAGGTCAGAATCTCAGAACAATGTAGGTTGGAAAAGACTTCTGGTGGTCATCTGATCCAAACCCTCGCTCAAAGCAGGAACAACTCCAATCAGGATGCTCAAGGCCTTTGCCAGTTCATTTTTCAGTATCTCTAGAGATGGCAATTCTACAAACTTGCTGGACAACGTGTTCTAGAATTTGAATACATTCTTCGTGAAAAACGTTTTCATTATATGTAACTGCAATTACTTTTGGGGTAACTTGTGTCTATCATCATCTCATCTCTAAGACGAGTCTCCGTTTTCTCTGCATAGTCTCACTAGGCACCTGAAGGAAGCTATAAGATAACCCCCTTAGCCTTGCCTGCTTGGGCCAAACCAAACTTAGTCCTTTCAGCCTCTCCTTGTATGTCATGTGCTCCAGCACTCTAGATATTCTAGTAGCTCTGTGCTGGACTTGCTCCAATATTTCACTGTCTTTCTTGCACTGGACAAGGTGTTTAACTTAATTAGTCTGGTGAGGAAGAGATTAATGAGCAATCCAGTATCTGACTACAACTATTTGAGGGGCAGTTACAAAGAAGAGAGTGCCAAACTCATCTCTGTAGTTCCAGACAATATAACAAGGGAAAACAGCCAATAATTACAACTTGGAAGACTCAGGTTGGATATGAATTTTTTTTCCCCCTTTTTAAATAATCACTGGAAGGATAGTTCAACACTGGAATAGGTTATCCAGAAAGGCTGTGGAATCTCTCATTTAGAGGTTTTCAAGACTTGGCTAGACAAATACACAGCTCACCTCATCTAGTGCTGGCAACAATCCCACCACTTCAGTGGAAAGCAGACAATATTTTCCAAACAATATTTCCATGATTCTATGAATTTTCAGATTTCTTTGCCAAACAGCTAGTAAACCAACTAGGAACAAGACCACTTTAAACTTAGTTTTGAAGATCATGTCATATAAAATGAACTTGGAATGGGTGATCATGGGTTTATCCAAGTTACCCTTAATGGAAAAAACCAAGTAAAACAATTCTTAAACTATGGTTTTCAATTTTGAATGATAACATGAAATGAACAAAGTTAGTCTGTAGAATTAACTGGATCAGAAATGTGTATCAAAGATGTGACACATCTTTAAATAAAAGAGATAAAATTGATCTAAAATTTAAAAAGGAAACATACTTACAGAGCGCCACACATGACTGAATTAATAAATATGTTTAAAAAGATAATAATCCAAAAGAAATGGAAGGAAGGAATTTTTCAAATAAATTTATGTAAGAAGTAGGGATAAACCAGCAGTTGCTAGAATCTGAGATGGTTCTGATCCTGTCAGGCAATGAACACACTAAAATGCTCCTTAGCTACACAAATTGCTCAAGAACAAAAGAATGCGTGACAACACTAATAATGGAATTGAGATTAAAAATAATTGAAGTATGACCCAAATAAAAATGCACACATTGCATTTCAGCAAGGTAATTAACAGACAGGCAAGGACAGGGTAAGCTAGTTGGAACAATGTACTTGGAACAGAAACAGCTGCAACACAGGCTGTAGTAAAACATAAAAAGGTTTTAATTCTCGTTAGAGTCATTGCTTCCAGCAGTCCCTACTGAAAGGGCTCAAAAGTTAGTAAGAATTAACTTTGCATTACCTTTCTATATCTGAAATCACTTAAAAAACCCAAAAGTCTCTTACCTTTAAAAAAAAAAACTATCTTAGAACATTCATGTCTACAGCAGTTGCTGTGTTTTATTTTTCTCCTTCCACAGTATAGCTGTAGAAATATTGCCTTGGAAGGAAGCTATCTTAATTAGATTAAAATAACACTAGAAAAGACTGAAGGAATTCTCATTTTTTACACATCAGCATAGCTGTACATTGTTTAAGGGACCAATTGACTTAATTGCAAGTCAAATATTATTAGCATTACAACTAGAAAAGAAGTACTTCACATAACATTCTACCTTGAAGATTTTCTCACTGATTTCTCGTTCATGTAAAGGGACTTGCTTATAGTTTCGGAACTCTGCCACTTCTCCATTTCTGAGCTGCAAGAGTCGGAATCTCTTTGATCTATTAAATTCCTCATCAGAAACAAAATTAAATTCTTGCTGCAACTGTTCCAATCTGAAGAAGTCAGGAACGTCTGCCTCTCCACTTGTAGCAACCTAAATTAGACAAAAAATTATTAACCTTTTCACACATAGTGACAAAACTCTGTAAAATAACTTTTGTAAGTCTTACATGCATATTGCAAGGATGTTCTTTTCAAGCAAAAGCAATTGAGATGGATCAGAGTGAAACTCAAAGTGTTTTCAAGCAGGTTTTTGTTGAGCAAAGTATATGAGATTATACAATTAAGAATACAATAAAATTTCATTTCCTCATAACATAAACAAAACATTAAATAGTAGAAAAACTGTAACACAGCAATCTGGGAAGTTGTACTGTAAAGATGATTCATTTACACAACTTCAGCAATGTAAATAGCTCCTCAATTTGGTGTTCAGAAAAGTCCCAACTTCTACAATACACTAAATCCCTTTGTGCAATTGTCACTAATAAGCAACCTTCTGTTTAACACCACGCAAGTACACTGGAAATACCCCTGCACTTTAAGGAAACAACAAACTCAAAATCTGTATTTTTTTTAATTTATAAACGAATCAGTTTGCATATTCCCTTATACCTAGTTTTCACCACTAGAGTACTACTGAATGGATTAATAAATCATATTCATTACTAAATCATTAACCCACTACTAAATGGATTAATAAATCATATTTTTAGTAGCCATTTTGCTTCTTAACACTCACACAAGTATGTCCATCACAAATTCAAATACTGCTACCTCCCTGGTGTGCATGCAGATTGCCTGAGAAGGTACTGGTGACTAGGTGTTTCACACTTCCATTAGCGCTACAGCTCTGAAAAAGCCACTTACCGTGATTAGCTGCATCAGAGCTGCATTGTTTGGGTCATTTGGATCAAGTTTTGCTTCTGCTGCCCACTTGGCTAGTTTCTTCATGTCAGTTAAGCCTGATGTGCCAATGCATGCAATAGCATCAATATTTTTTAAAGCACTAAAAAGACAGAATTGACAGAACTTATACCTAAACACATACAATTTAGTGGTATTAAAAAAGTATTTAAAATAATCTTAGAAAAAAACAAAAAGCTCCCCACAACCTGAGCAGTAAATTCCACTACACAATTCTTAGTTGTAGCTATGCAACAGAGGGAATGATAAATTGTAAAGGAAAGGGGAAATATGAAGAAGCTGGTGGAAGAGAATGTTTATACAAGGTAATAAGGTGCTTATTGAGATATTTGATACACCTACAGTATTCCATGTTGCTGATTACTAGGAAGTAAGATGATAAATTGCCTCACAGCATGAAAGTTAACATAAAAGTCTGACACTCCCTACTGTAAAGAACTTCTCAGATGTACAGTCCTTGCTTGTGCTATGTCTTAAATCCTGTCTTTGACCTGTCTCCTCGATGGCGCACTCTCAGACCTGCATTGTAGCCTTGGTCTCTGCTCCCTACCCTGCTGTTTCTGGATAGACCCCAGGGCCCAATTCATCCACTCGCCATGTCTGGGACTACTGCCAGCACCCTGCTCTGCCTGTCATGTTCAGCTCCTGTTAAGACTGCATGCTGGCTGGCAAGGACACCCTTGCAGCCTTCTCCCTTGTGGTACAACCCTGCTTTTGGTCCTCCCTGACACTATGAGTCCATTCCTTATCCTCTGGATGCTCCTGCTCATTTTCTTATATTCACAGTAGGCAAGGAAGTATGGTAGGTAATCCGGAGGCCATTTTTACACTACACTTGCTGGCCAGACTTGTGGCATCTTCTCACAAAAGCCAGCCCTGAAGCGCCACCACTACCAAAACCTTGCCACGTAAACCCAATAAACACCAGGACATGCATGTTATTAGCCAAATATCACAGAAGGTGGATGTTGCCCCTTCTCTTGTTAGGGGTGCTAATTTGAGTCTTTGTTCTCTACTTGTCTGAATATTTTCAAGAAAGCTTTAAGAACTTATGGGTCTTTCTCACGCTTGGTTAGAATCAGCCAAATATCCAGCAATTACTGGAGCAGCAGATAAAGCGGTAACATCAAGGTTATATCTCCAGGCACCAGTCTTGAACAAATGCACACTGAATCAGAATTGTGTTGAAAAGCTAATGGGCAGCGAAAACTAACTTTAGGCCTGAAAATCTTCTCTCTGACTTTCACAACAGACAACGGAAAGTCACAGAAGGCTGTCCATCTCTAGAGGGTGATTTGGAATGTATCAAGCTGCGCCTAAGGGCAGATGAAGAACGAGTGGAGAGCTTATAGCTAAGAATTAAGGGGCAGGCTAATAACAGTAACGTTGTGGGTGTTTGCTACAGGTCACCTGATCAGTATAAGGAAGTCAATGAGGGCTTCTACAGACAGTTGAAAGTAGCCTCACGATCGCAGGCCCTGGTTCTCATGAGGGACTTCAATCACCCCGATATCTGCTGGAAAGACAACGCAGCCAGGCACACACAGTCCAGCCAGTTCCTGCAGAGCACTGATGTTAATTTTTTGACACAGGTAGTGGATCAGCCAACAAGGAGAGCTGTTCTGCTGGACCTCGTGCTAACAAACAAGGACTGGTTGGCGATGCGAAGGCTGGGGGCACCCTTGGCTACAGTGACCATGAGATGGTGGAGTTCAGGATCCTGCGTGGAGGAAGCAGGGCAATAAGTAGGATTACTACCCTAGACTTCAGGAGAGCTAAATTTGGCCTCTTCAGGGACTTACTTGGAGGGATCCCACGGGCTCAGGCTCTGGAAGGTAGAGGGGCCCAAGAGAGCTGGTTAATATTCAAGTACCACTTCCTCCAAGCTCAAGGTTGGTGCATCCCTATGAGCAAGAAATCAAGCAAAGGGGGCAGGAGACCTGCATGGATGAGCAAGGAGCTTCCGGCAAAACTCGAATGGAAGAAGTTTATAGAATGTGGAAGAACGGACAGGCCACTTGGGAGGAATACAGGAA